CTCGGTCGTGGGGCCGCATTGGACTGGTCTTTAGAGGCCCCCGCAAATTTGAAAGAAAAAAAAAACACCGACGGATCAGTCTCTCAAGCACTCAAGGCAACACTCGCTGCGCGGTGTACTCCCCAAGCTTTTGCCTGCAAGCCAAACTACCCCCCGACACTTCAATATTTACCGCTGAGCTCTACGCCATCAAATTTGTCACCCCACTACCAGGTTACTTTGTCATCTTCATTCTTCAGTGACTCACTCAGCTTTATATTGACCCTGAGCTGACTAACAGTGGAGTGGGTACATGGACACCGCGGCATTCCGGGCAACGTAGCCGGCAGCCGCAGATGCTCTTGCACATGCAGCTCTTGGCCACCATGGCTAACCTCGCCTTAGGCACAACTTCGCCCACACAAGGGACTGGAAAGCCAAAATTGCAAAGCACTACCGTAGGGTCTGGCATACTGCCTGGTCCTCCCTGCCTCCACATGTAACCAAATTCAACCCAACACTAGCCTCACTCACCCCCACAGAAATACCACGACGCGAGACCCCACCAAGTAGCCATCACTCGCATCCAACTAGAATCTTGCCTACAAGACTGAGGCTACAACTACAATTGTGCTCATTGCCTACAGGCTACAACTACAATTTCTACAAACAATGAAACACATTCTCATAGGCTGCCCACTATACACCCTTCAGCAACGTAGCCTATGCTCTGCCTGTCAGCAGTTGAACCTTCCCTTCTCTTTAACTTAAGCACAATTCTCCTGCCACCCATTGACCCAGAACTGATAATACAATTTCTGCTTAACTAGCTTAAGACTTGCCTACTGGAATCGATCTAAAATAAGGCGGAGTGGGGACGCTAATACCTTCGTCGGTGCTGCGCCTTATCTTAACAAAGTAAGTAATAAGTTTGGGTTGCTTGTCAAGTTGTCAGACACTCGGAGATGATGGAAACACTTCGTCGCACTTCATGATCTTATTACAAATTTTGTTTTCCTGCAAAGTATCTAATTTTAAGTAACTGTGATATTGCGAAGTGTTGCCGGCTTGACTGTGCCGTGTTTCATGGCTCTGCCGTGTTGCACTGGTGTGCTGTGTTGCGCGGCTTTGTCATGTTTCACGGCTCTGATGGGTCTCGATTCTCGTGCTCGCAGCTCGCCCGCTACGTGCATTAAGGCCGTTATGTGCATTAAGGCCCTTAGGTGCATTAAGGCCGCTACGTGCATTAAGGCCGTTACGTGCATTAAGGCCGTTATGTGCATTAAGGCCTGTCTCTTATACACATCTAGATGTGTATAAGAGACAGACGTGCATTAAGGCCGCTACGTGCATTAAGGCCGTTACGTGCATTAAGGCCGTTATGTGCATTAAGGCCGCTACGTGCATTAAGGCCGCTACGTGCATTAAGACCGTTACGTGCATTAAGGCCGCTACGTGCATTAAGGCCGCTACGTGCATTAAGGCCGGTACGTGCATTAAGCCCGCTACGTGCATTAAGGCCGTTATGTGCATTAAGGCCGCTACGTGCATCAAGGCCGTTACGTGCATTAAGGCCGTTATGTGCATTAAGGCCGCTACGTGCATTAAGGCCGTTACGTGCATTAAGGCCGTTACGTACATTAAGGCCGCTACGTGCATTAAGGCCGTTACGTGCATTAAGGCCGCTACGTGCATTAAGCCCGCTACGTGCATTAAGGCCGCACGACTGTACAGTAAATAAATAGCTTCGTTGTTAATCAATTCTAGATCAGTCTTGATTTGAAAAATGTATGTGTGGGAAACCTGCAAAGGCTGAGCGTTTAGTGAGGTAATTAAACTAGAAGTGGACAAAAGAATGTATCGATGCTGCCACGAACTTAATTACAACAAATATATCCATTTTCAGTTTGGTCCCGACCGGTTACGATTTGACTAACTTATTCCGTTATTCGTAGAAAACCTGCTCAGATCTTGGTCGAAAAGTGATCTTGGTCGTAAGTTGAGTATATTTGGTGAGAATTTCTCCAGTTACAATCCGCATTTCTTTGAATTAAATTCGAAATCAAATAGTAAATTCTTATGCGAATATTAAATTTTATTTCGACGTGGTCAACCTTCCAGGTTTCTTCTAACATGAATTGGAAGATTAAGACCAACTTCATCTTTCTAGCACACTCCAGGCAGCACAGCTAACCTGTAGAGATAGTTCGTCGTCATCTACGGTAACCACCGACGCTACGAGTCAACGAGCATCTTTGCGTTGCTAACTTCTAATTAACTGATCCGTTGGTGTATAATAGATTCCGTCGCCTTCAATTATTAGGACGTCTTAGTCTTAGGAGTAGGCAATAGTCGTATAAAAAGTTATAATATATTCGCAAGGTTTTACGACAGTGTAGATTCGGAAACTTCTAATCGTATAATCTGGCGATTGCACCCGTTTCACCAGATGTATTTTAATGGTAGTTATTCACTAAAATATCTCAGAATCATGAAGAAAATTTAGTTCGCATCACGAAGCATACTAAGCTATGTTATAAACTATTGCGAGTTACGTTCCATTCCCTCTAGCAAATTTCTTCCATTGAGTTGCCATCGGGAACATTTCGATCCCGTATCTACTTCATCCGTATCTACATCAGGCTACGGTGTGTTGTAGACGACATCCATCCTGTGTTTCGCAGTCCGTCTAGTTCGCCATTGCGTTGACGGAACATTACTGCTATGGCAGCGCAGCCGGTACAGTTCCCGTCCACCGAGAGCTACATTGATCGGATTATATGGGAGTGCTATATTAAGAAAACTTATGGTATCAACTGCGAACGATTCAAAGCGTTAAGAGTAGTGTAAAAACCTAGGTCGAAACCATAAATAGTTGTTGATATAAGCCTAGTTAGTATTAGAAAAGCGTCTAGGGGAACAACAAGAACGATAAAACTGTACCGAAGGCTTGGCTTGAATTAGCAAACTTGGAGCGCAGTGATCATAAATTTAGGACTTCGCATGGAGGCTTTAACTCCTTCACTTTGCTCCGTAATCTGTTAGAAGCCAATTCAATTTATAAATTGACGATTCCTCGTAAGACTGTACCTCTTGTGCAAGACTATAGAGTTCGGCACCTATAGTCACAGCATCGTATCGCTTAGCTAAATTGGTGGCAGCCGCGGGTCTACTACGTACATCAGGCTTGGAAAAACAGGTCCCAATTCCGGTGTGAAGTTATTCAATTCAGGCGACCTAAAACGTAATCATAATGATGGAAAATGCCTTATTTCGGTGAAGATGTGTTCGACGGTACCATCGCAACAGCCCGCAGGAATAATTTGAACCTTTTTGCTTACCGAGCTTGTCTATCATATCGTGCGCACGTAGTTCAGCTACATGTACATCGAAAACAGCTCGTATTGTAGAGTGACTAAGTGATTGTCGGTAGTCTACAATGGGGGGACTTCCATTTACGAGAAGTTGTAGCAACGACATCGAGGGCATTCTTTAATAGGGTACGAAACTGTTCACTAAATTTCCGACGTCTCGCGGTCATAGACATTTCCACCAGCTGGTTAATTCAGTACTGGGAAGAAGCGATCTCTCTGGCATCTACAATGCTCCACATAAAGTGAGGTTCCAGGTAGCATAACAGCCATTAGATAAATAAACTTGAAAATACTTCGGTGCTCAACCCGATGCTGAATGGATTACTCGTATAATCTAGAAAAATCTTACTCCGACCTTTCCCTTTTCGAGGATAAAGAATAGAACGAAGATAATTTAAGTGATCTTTATTTCGTATAACGCCATCTTTGCCATTGACGTACGTTGACCATCGTCACTGTCTTGAAGTTTCCTCCCAGTGCCGGCTGCAGCGGTGTGTTGAACTTAGAGTTGCTATACGGCACGAAACTTTGCCGTGCTGTGGGTCAAGAAATTCATATCATTACATCTACAGGATATTTCGAGTATATACAATATCCATGCATTCACCGACGTATTACACAGTGCAGTATAGAAATATAAATGTACTTTAGCCATCATGTTTATCATAGAGATCCGGCTAGGCCTGGCAAACGGATGGACGTTTCAGTTTCACTTCTACGCGTCCGCTTAGTAGAAGCTGCTGGCTACACCACGCACACTACTCACCACCACCACCACCACCACCACCAACTGGTGGTGGTGAGGCGTGACGTTAACGCCACCACCACCACCTCACCTGCTCCAGTTCCTGCTTCGCTGCTAGGGCTGCGGCCAGGGCCGCCGCAGCCTGACCCGCCTAAAAATACAACGCAAAATGAGTTTCAAGCAACGGTTCTGTAGAGAGGAATATCAAAGAATTGCCGACAGCCAAGTATTACAACGAAACCAAGGATAAAGGTGATCACACATAGCGACAATGACCGTAGGAGGTAGGTGACGCATGTTGTGATTAAATCTAAAACTGCCTTTGACGTAGGGCTTGTGCCCTTAAATGGTCGCTGCTTGACAGCGACCTCAAGGCGTAGGGCCTCAAGGGCAAGCGTAGGGCCTCAAGACAGCTTGAGGGAGTTGCCTCTACCAGCAACTCTGTTTACGTCCCGCCTCTACCAGCAACTCTGTTTACGTCCCGCCTCGACCAGCAACTCTACGTCCCGCCTCGACCAGCAACTCTGTTTACGTCCCGACAGACAGATGTTGTGATTAAATATAAAACTGACCTTAGATGTGGGGGCTCGTTCCTTCATGCGGCCTTTTCTCACTGCTACGCGTCCGGCTCTCTATTGAGCTGAGGCTATGAAAGTTGGTCACTATTTTTACAATATGACCACTTCGTTTGGTAACAAAAGCACTCAACATATTTTCCACGTTCATCAACAGTTTTATATATTGATCTGGAACTTTGACATTCGAAAAATTCAAATCTGTAAATAATTTATAATCATTTTTAGCCTTTCATCGAATTACTAGGCTAGTAGAGCAGCTAATGAACGATCAATAGCTAGCTTAAATATTCAAAGCTAACAATGCAACCAGATATCGTAGCAATAAGTAGAATCATTTTCATCTGCATCGAATTTCAACTCACATCGCTCGAGGAGGGCGCCTCGGCGCTGTCGGCGCCAGCGACACCTGGGACGTTGACGTCGTCGCTGGCGCCAACGGTTGAGGCCGGTGCGACGCTTGGCCCTGGCACGTGTAGCAAGCGACGTGGCCGCTTAGCAGCGCCTTGCAGGGGCTGGAAAACATCACTATTGATGCACAAAGAATTCGTTTCAGGTCTACTAACCTATATCCTTCCACCACGTTGCCCCACCCCACCTACATATATCGCCTAGTCACCTCAGTCCTTCACCTATCATCGAGCAACCAATTACACATCAGTAGAGAAGAGTTTACTGATAATCAGGACATCTAAAGATTTTAATTAGTCATTTTAAGAAACCAAACTCGCGCAATAACAAGAGTAGCTCATCTCTAACCTACTTACGTTAAGCTTTCTGGCAATCAAGTTGCCGAATGGTACATTGCCGAGAAGGCGAGCGGCAAAAGAAGAGGGCGGCTGGGGCTTCAAGGTGGCCCACAGCTCCTCCAGCCCCTCCCTCACTTGCCGCTCGCCTCTCAAGTTGTCCCGGAGCGCGGTGGCAGAGTCGGAATAATTCAGCTCAGCGAGCTGTATACTGGATTGCTGATATGCGCTGAATAATGTCTGTAGAAGGAAGAATAGCAAGGAGTCAACATAAAGTAATATAAGAGTAGAACAAATCATAAATGCATTCATGCGCCCCACTGGCACGCACTAAAAGCAGCTTTACAGCTCACCATTTTATCAGCGTATGCTTGTTTATCGCATTAGTGCATCGACGTAATCTGTTTTTATCCTCTCGTGTCTTTTTTAGCCACTTGTAACGTGCCCTCGACGTTCGATCTGAATGAGACGCCACGACAATCTCTTCGTGGAATAATAATAATAATAAAATCACGAGTTCATTATAATAAAGGAGAAAATTGAGTTTACGTGAAAAATTCCACCCGTGACAATTAGATGATATCTGACTGTCCCCCTACTGGCCACCAAAATGTGACGAATTGCCTTATATATCTCAAATAACCATTTGCGTCACCTTGAAAGTTCGGATTGTCTTGAATGCCACGCCCACCAATAACCGAAAAATAGAAGATCCACCCCTATTGGATAGATTCGCAATAGCTTGGACTGAACGGATTGACAACTCAAACAGCTTAATACAATGTTTATGGATAAACAGCAAATTGATGCTAAACAATAACAACGGATGCGAAATAGAACTGAATAAATTAACAAATCTGATACCCTGAGAATTAATAAAAGAATCGGACACGAGAGTTAAAGAATCAAATGCGAGGAGAGAGAGCTAGAGCTAGAGCATGGAGGTTTCGGGTATGAACGCTCGATCCCTGGCGTCAGGGTGAAAATGATGCATGCGAGGAATCAGTACGCAAGTCGGGATCAGCAGCTTATCTGACGGTCACATCAAATTTAACGCCCACTTCATAGCTGGCTGTGCATAATCTTTGTGGTCTGATAGTCAGTAGTGGGAAATTTGCATAGTACTGTAGTGGGCCAGCCTTGGCCGAGCTTAATTAAAACGCTGTTAGTTTTCTTCAGCCGCCGCACCTCTCTGACAAAGACAAAGGAGAAAAAGTATGAGTTGATAGTTTTTCGAGAAGCAGATGTTTAAGAATAAGCAGCAGACTTTTGCCAGGGTCACTACACTTTGTAATGTCTGTAAATATCTGTCTAAATGTCTGTATTGTCTGCAATTGTAAACCTAAATGAATTAAGTTTACAGTTCTATGTCGTGGCTACGGGTTACCTTATAACTCGACAAATTAAATATACCTTGTGGTCTTTGAAAATTTGCTGAACCACTTTGATAATCCTTGTACGTTAATTAAGGCCCGCAGACAGAGACCCAGTAACGTCAATGTATGGAGTGTAGTTCTCCCGCTACAGTCCTTCATTACACGTCCATTATTGGGTACATTATTTACTGACAAAGAACTCTTAACTTATTGTTAAATAACAGTGTGCAACAGAAGGCAAACTGTGCGGGAGTATAGCAACTTTTAATTAAAGTTGAGCGTAGGCTTCTTGCTGGTAATACGTGTGTACGTCAGAGTTCGAATTGGTTGCCTTGCCTAGGAACTAACTCTTCAGAGGTAACAAGAATAAAATGCACTGGATGCTTATTAAAGACAACGCGGAGCACATCCATAAATTAGCCATAGACCAGGAAATTTATAACCATCATATTAGTTTACAACGAAAGATATTTGCAAGTTTGCCTAGAATTTTATCTGATAAATCCTCGTCTTTACGCGGAATTAGAAGTGGCATGAAGATAATCCACTGTGGGACGACACGAGTTGACGAAGCAGAGCGATCACAACAAAACTAAACGGAAAGGAATTGCGATCCCAAATATAGTCCGCGACTGTGTCACTTGCCGCAAACTACGAGAGGTGCAAACGACTCCAATAAAGGCTGGTCCACATGCTCAGGTTTACTCAATAATTAGTCTGCGCAGTCCAAAACTTTGCAGAAAACGTCGCAGTTTTGAGCGCGTCTTGAGTTGTAGTGATATTTGAACTTCAGAGCATAGATTTTGACGAACTGCGAGGATAAGTTGAAACGTGTAGACAGTAGCACAGTTTCCTATTCAACTTGTGTCCAATATTAATTAGTCTGGCGAGAGTGGTGGACCTTCGGTAATGTTCTCGGGAATTTGTTCTCTATACGGAAGTTTTCCTTGCACATGGCGAGGAAAATGCAAGGACCATAGTAACAGGGAATTAAAGGCTGGGAAAAGTTAATAAATCGATGCGATCTGGAGCTGGAGAAGACGACATCTACAAGCCATCATTCTGGGACTTAGATTCCTTGCATTTCCTAAATGATCCATTTTTTACAAGGCACTATGCTAAAATTGAACAAATTACTGCCTCATCCACGATGGGAACTTACAAAAATAAGCAAACTACACAGATATGCTGGCGCCGCGTGTTTTGCGACGGCACTCATGGGAAGTGTCTCAGACTCAAACTACACGGCACACTACTTCCCGCAGATATGCCGGCACTAGCACTCGTGGGAAGCAGATTACTCTCCAGACGAGTTCAGTTTCAGTACCATGCTGGCTAGGCTGAAGCCGTGTTTATCGTCAACGTCAACAACACGCCACTTGATCCGTATCAGACAACTCTGACAACCCGTCACCCCTCTCACCCACGACAGTGCTACTCTGCCCACGGGACCCAACCTTTTCTCCATTAAAAACATTCATACCGCGGACATTCTGGCCTACGGAAAATGGCGACACCGACGCGTCCAATTCCTAGCCAGAACAGTTCTGGACGCTATGGCAAACGCAGTACTCTTAACGCGACGACACAAATGGAAAACGAGACGGAGATGTGCCACTACCGGCGACGTCGTGCTACGACGCGATGAACTAAGCACGCATCCCGTGGCCTATGGGTTACGAGAACCGCATCGTAAAATTTCCATCAAATCGCATCGTAAACTCGTTGCTGCTCAGCGCAATGATTAGTGTGAAAAAGCATTCTAAATTTTCCTTGACATTTTACAAGTATCGAGTTATTTTGTGACGTTCCCATTTAGCACTGAGTCCATGGAATCCCCGAAACGTCTCGGCACCCGCTACGGGAGCGTAGCCGTGCACCACCAATTTTTGTGCACCAATAAGCCCTGAATCGAACGCTTTGGATATCTCCGGACATCCACCAATCAGCCGTGCACCACTCGGCTTTGTCCTCTTCCAGCCTTGACCACCACCTGCCGTGAACCACCAGGCCACGGATCGAATCTAACTTCCGGGCATCGTTAAATTACGTAATTTTACGTTCACCGCATCTGAAGTTAGGTTTCAGATAGCATAGTTCTGTTCCAAAATTTATCGTCCTTCGACAAGTGGCCGTTCGACCGAGGGCTGGTTCGACCCACGGCCTAGATACGGACGGCTTGAAGTGATGAAGGCTGCGTTCCGGAATGCAGGAATCATGATGGTCCATTACATCCAGGGCAGTGGTGGTCTTCGGCAGGCGACCCCCCGCTACGATTCAAATATGACAGAGGCCTCCCTATCAGTCCCAGGTGGCGCAACCTTCAACTCCCCCACTGTCTAATCAATCTGGAATACGTATAGACATTTATTAATTTAAGATTTTTGACACAATTGTGTCACCAACAGAGAGTTATTACCTCTTAGATCATTCATAGCGGTTCACAATTATTGTTATCGTGCTAGCCTTTAGGTTCCCTATATTTTTCTACTAGGAGTAGTGTAGGAACCAGTATGGCGACCAAGACGTCGATCAACTCGCATGCCATGGTCAGGAAGATTTGTCAGTGTCAGGTGCGCGGGAATATATATTGTCATTTCATCAATCTGCGCGGTACCCCGTACTATGACGGTAAAAAATAGCAGTGAGCCGTACTCTGAAATAGTTCAAATATGGACACGCGGCAACGCAATCACACACTGTACACGCGAACGTATATCGGTATAACCGCATCGTGTTGCGGTAGGATACAAGTTGACCAGACTGCTAACGCGTCAACCCAGGTTCTACGAGTCAGTACTCGTATGAATGTTCATTAATAGATCACAATTCGGGCGAACATGAATTACACAACTATGAAACGGCGATATGGCTTGAGATGTCCCGTCGGTGCCGTCTTATAAATGACTGGTTGCAGCAAGTAGGGTGATCAGAACATTACAGCTACATACAGATAATAGTGCGAACCCGTATGTCGACGTCGGGACTACGTTACGTTCCCGACATTCTCCCGGCCGGTGAAATGAACACAATCAATACCTAATAACAATGCGCGTAAATGGACTAAACAAATGAAGTCGATACGGCATAATTACAGAGCGTAATTAGACATCGTGATACAAAATATTTAGGAAAGGAGAAATTTATCTCCTGATCTGTACAAAATAACTCTCTTCCAGAGTCTGTAACTAATTCTACAGAACGAACAAGGTTATCGTTACCAACAATGAAAGTAATTGTTCATCCTGATTTTCCAAGTACACGAGGGCGATCGATATAAATTTGTACAATATCTCCTATCTTGCCAGTATTATTAGAAGTTACATTGCTGGACTGTGTTCTTTCACGAAGTGAAGTCAGATTGTGTGAATACCAGCGTTTCCAAAAAATTTGAAGTAAAAGTTTATTGCGAGTTGAACATTTGGCAAGACTAGTCTTTTCATTGAAGGGTCTTTTCATTTCAATGACCATTAAATGGTCTTTTCAGACTTTACGACAAACGACGCAATATTTCAAGATATTTCGAAGGGGTCCACTGAAGGTATCCAGAATCTTAACCGCGAATAATTCAAAGTCTCATTTAATGCACAATGATGATTCATTCGATGAGTTTCTCTTAAAATAAGTTTAGCAAATCTCGAATTTTTAGACAATAAAATTAGAAATCTAGTTTGGTAACTCGGCACTTGGCGAGCCATTCTTGTTTAATTCGAATAATCTCAGACTGCTTTAGGTGAATTTCAATGTTTAGGTGAAGTTCAAGCAGACGCACAATGCTCGTAATTTTAGCTTTACTTTCTCCTCTGAAAAAGGACAACGTTTCGGCAAATTAGACCGCAGACTAGCAAAGATTAGCTTTATCTTTGCTGACCGCAATTTAGCACAAGACAACCGGCCTCCAGAGGGATGCATAGAAGCATCCATTAGTATGCGCTTCTTGCTGACACCATGCGCTGCTTGCTGACGCTGATTGCCCTTGTTGACACCAGTGGTAAGATTTTCTGTGCGGTTATGAATGAGCGGATGCTAAGATGTATTAGGAAC